CCGCCGCCCCGCGCCCGCCGCCGCCGCCGCCGCCGCCGCCGCTCTAGCACAGGCGGAGACAGACACAGACTCTGAGAGCAGTTTTCGTGCAACTCAAAATTAGCGCGGGCAGGTTTAACATCGATAATCGGCTGCGAAATGGTCCCGGCGGCCGGGGGCACGGCCTCGGCCCCGTCGCCCTCGCTTTCTGCCGCTAACAAAAGAAAGCAGGACCTGTCTCCAAATAGCCATCTTAGGCTTCAAGGCTAGGCAGAAGCGGTAGGCCTCAAAGAAGGGCCTATGGAGATGGATAGCGCTGGGAGAGGGATCCGGGCCGGCCGCGGCCCCGCGCCCCCCGGACCCCGCCGCCGCCGCCGGCCGGGGCACTATTGATCCTTTTGAACTTTTTTCTTTTTTTCTTTCGTGTAAACGGACCGCGTTGAGATTTAAAAGGGGGCGACAGAGGGACTTGCGATTGGTTATTGTCCGGGCTTCAAAAACAAAACAAACCCACCAACACCGCCCCCCCCACCAAACAAGTGCTGCCGAGCCCGGGCCCTGCGGTGCGGGACCGGGACGCCGGCCGCCCCTGGGTGGCGGCTGGCTCCGGGGGTCGGTCGCACGCCCCAGATGGCCGGGCAGCCACAGAGCTCTGCAGAATGGGTATTTATTTCGTAGTCAGGCCAGGGTTTTCTTGGACTGGGCACTTTTCAGACAAGTGTGCCTGTGTTTTTAACAGGTTTCTGAGAAGAATCAGTGGGGAGAAATTGTTGAAGAGTTCAACTTTCCCAGAAGTTGTTCTAACGCTGCCTTTGCTTTAAAACAGTATTACTTGCGGTGAGTAGTTGTGACTTTCCCACACTATTTGGAAATCAGGACTTACGACTTTTTTTTTTTTAACAACGGCAAAACAAAAAAACAAAATTTGCACACCAGTTTTTAATCTTCTGTTAATTTTAGTTTAAGAAACGTTTACTATCAACGAGGTGACATTGCAATAAATTTTCTTCACCTGTTTCAGGATGAATTCTGTTTTTCATACAAAAGTCATTATAGGTGACATCCCCCATCTTGATAAACATTATTTTGTGACGTTATTGATTGCTTGATTTCCACTGATGGGCAGAAAGGTGATGCTTAATGAAAGATTTAAGATAATGAAACTTTGTAACCTTCGTGAAAATTTTCTTTGTTTTGAAAACTCCTTTACCTTTTAAAAATATTTGACTTTCAGAATTAAAAAAAAAAACAACCAAGGTTCTATCATTGAGTAGTTTTTTAGTAGAATATATCTATATAATTAATGTAGGTGCTTTAGATGGGGATGTTTCTTAGGAAGTACAGATTGTTGCATTTCTAAACAACTTAAATATGTTCAATGTCTTTAGGAAAATGGGGTACTGTGAAAATGGATACTATGATTTGATTTTTCTTCCATTCTCCCTTTGTTACTGTTTGGTCTGTGATATAGACCACTAAACAATATACATTGTTATTTAGCTTCATTTTCTTTTCTCCCAGTTTCTTCTGTAGGAATATTTTTATATTGTAGTTTATTGGGGAGTCATCTTTTGTTTTTGTTTACCCTAAGAAAAAGTCCTTAGCTGGTTATTTGAAACTAAAGTAACATTGTTTGTGTTTATTGCTTTCTAATAAATTTTGATAATAGTGATATTACTTGGTAGTTTTCTTTGGTAATATGGTTTCTGCCTTATTTTATTTTTGTGTTGTTTTTGTGCTTCAGGTGCACCTAAGAGTTATTCTGTATTATGTTCAGCATTCTCAAATAGGAGATAGTAATTGCACAGGTGTGCTTTCTGTCGGCTGCCTTAGATTAACTTGAGGCTGGAAGTTAAGAGTTCTCAGAACTTTGTGGAGTGGTTATTGAATCCCATAGAAAATATTAAGCGCAGTTAGTTGTTATCTACTGTGGGGTGTTTGTGTGTAATGGTATGTGTGTCAGGGTACATTTTTAAATAAAGGGCTATATTTAAAAAAAAAAAAAGCAAACAAAATTAACCTCAAACTGTTAATTTAGTAATGGGGTGAGGAAGAGACTTTGTGTTTATGATGGTAGTCAACTTGCTTATTTCCATTTCTATTACTGAGAGTTACGTGTTAGTACATGTTCTGGTTTTATTCTAATCAGTTGAAACAATTTGATTTTGTATTGCATAAAATGATTGAATTTTCATATCCTAAAGGTACTGTGTGATTATACAAACTGTGAGAGGTCTATATTTCTTAAGAATTTACTTTTGCACTGAGTTTTAACATATACATAGGTTTCAGTTTCTTTGCATAAGCTAATTAAAATATTTTTCCAGCTTAAATTTCTATCTTGGAATTGTATCATCCATTAGTTATACTTACAGGTAGTTTTTAACTATGTAGTTTCAAGATTGTAAGTACATTGTTCTTATATCTGTTTGAGCTTTATGCTCTTATAAGAAACTGCTTTTTGAACTGTGTCCTTAGCTAAACTTGTTTTTCCTCCATATGTCATTCTCCAGGTTTGTTTTTGTAGGGTTGTAGCTAGGCTACTAGGAAAAAAGTTGAAGCATTTGTTTTGGAAAGTAAAAACCATGTGAAGATTTGCATGGCTTATAAAGAAATACAAAAGGAATAGGCTGGTCAAAAATTGAGTACTACCCACCTCAAAAATTTTTTCCCTAGTGATGTAATATTGTACTGGTAGAGAGTATGTGTTATGCTGGGTTCTACACCTTACTTTGAAAAATCTGGACTGGCAGACCAGATGCCAGGCTTTAACAGTAGTTCTGTTACGTAAGCATAAAAGCCCCTCCCTGTAGTAAGAAGTAGTAATCAAGTGACTTGGGAAGTGCCCTCTTGGCTGCATTAAAGTGAGTATGATTTCTTATGAGTAGATAACGTCGTGTTTTAAAAATCACAGGTGGGATAATTTTTTTAGTATGAACTTTTTTTTTCTTTTGGCATATTGGAGGACTGTATTATGTGTGTTCTTTACCAAGTTGAATATTTGCTCACATTTTCTTTTTACTTACTGGCTGGATGGCTGATAGCATAGTGTGTGATGTGTCTTCACAGTACTACAGACATTTAAGTAGAAGTAAGCTAGTATGTGGACCATGTATATAGTCTTAGCAGTTTTATATTTTTGTTATAAACATAGGCATTCAATATAGAAACTTGAGTTTAATGTTCTGCCCAAAGTTAGATTGGTTGTATTAAATGTAATTTACTCAGTTTTAGATTGTTTACAAAAATTTCAGTCTAAACTTGAAGTGCAGTTGATTTTTTTAAGCATCATTTACTTTTTAAAAATATAAATGCTTGTGGATAATGTGTCGAGTCTAAACGTTGAATGTTGCTCATGTATGTATTTTGTTTAGTTCCTTTCAGCATATATGTTGTATTCTTATGTGTTTTATTATTAGATTATCTCTTAAATACAAAGAAGAAAATGTAATTTTGTATACTTTTTATATGAAGAACTTAACCAATTTTAAATGGCTTTAGAAGCACGTATTACTTGGCCAAAAATATGTTCATGAAATGTATTCAGTGATGTTTACTCACCCTAGTATCAATTCAGTTTGGTACAAATAATTTTATTTTATTTTATTTTTTTGTTTTAAATTTTATTTGTGTGTGTGTGTGTGTGTGTGGCCAGCTCAGCCCACCAGGGGGCGGGGCTGGCTGGCATGTGGGCTGGGGGATTGAACCGCGGTCCCTGTGCTTTGCTAAGCTTGTTCTAAGTAGGTGCTTTAGACCACTGAGCCATCTCACCAGCCCGGTACAAATAATTTTAATAAACTAAAATATAACTGAAAATTACATATGGTCAGATTTACACCCGAGTACATTTATGTTCATTGTGTTCCAATGGTGAATTTTAGTTTTTGTTGTATTTTGGTACAAAGATTGGAGACAATTTGCTACTCTTATTTGGATTAAGAATTTGAAGCTTTGGTATGAAGATTTAGGTAAATATTTCAGGTATTTAGTTGAAGAATTTTGTTTTTGCCTAATGATGACAATAATATAGCTACAGTCAAGGATAATCTAATGTTTCCTTTATAAAACTTGATTTTTTGAAATAGAGATAAGATATCTTAGGCATTAAATGTTTATTGTGTAATGCTATATGTTGCAGGTTTTCTTGCATTAAAATTTACAAGTCTTTAAAGATGTATTTACTTTGAGAAAGTAACACATTTGTAGTTGTAAACACCATAGTGATTTTCTTTTTTTTTTTTTTTTTTTTGGTGGAACCGGGGATTGAACTCAGGCCCTTGCGCTTGCCAGACAAGCGCTTATTCCACTGAGCCATCTCCCTGGCCCCAATTGCATTGACTTCTTTTTTTGGTCTCTCGGTGGGGAGCACCCTTTAGATTGCTACAGGGAGTTCACGTTTATCCTTTGAATGACGTGAGTACACTCGTATGATTCTATGGTTGGCACTACCACATAGATCACTTGTTTTAAAGAAGCTTTTATGAACCAACTGAGGTTGAGTAAATGAATTTTTCAGAATTTAAATAAATAAAGTAACATATTGAGTTTATGAATTGCTAAACTGAACTGGAGAAATGTATTACTCTGCCTTTTCAAGAAAGTAAAATAAAAGCAATATAGAGACTAGAAGAACAACTATTCATATTTGCGTATGTATTTTAAATTTAATTTTATAAGCAGCATCCTCTTACTTTGAACAAACCCTTTTTAATATTTGCTGATACTATGTTACAGTTTTAAAAGGCCTGCAGACCTACTGAAAGTAGGGCCAGAAAGTGGAGAAAGTTGAATGAGTGATCAAAGGTCAGCTGCAGCCCTGTGTTGTCTCAGAATTCATGTTGTTAGTAGAAATGAGTCTGCTGCTCTCCAAATTGTATTGAAGCTCCAGACTGAGAACTTTGTAACTCCCAGAATGTTTGTGTACCTTTTTTTTTTGCATTTAAATTTTATGCTTTAGCCATTAATTTAAAATGTCTATTTTTGAATAGGAACATTGTTTGTTTTGTGGTACTGGGGACTGGGCCCAAGGCCTTGTGCATGCTAAGCAAATGCCCTTTCACTAAGCTATAGCCCTAGGCTGAAGCACTCTTGTATAATCTTAGCTCTCTGCTGTGTGGTGCAGTCAGTATATCTTCAGTCATTGTGTGTAAAATCCAGTATTATGTCTTTGATAAAAGAGGCTATCATTGCTTTGGATCTTTTCTATTCTCAAAGGGTGAAAGTTGGGAGAGGAAGGAAAAACAAAGATTCTAATTCTGTAGAATTTAAGTATATTTTAGTTGCAAAACAAAAAATACATACTTTTACATAAAGTACAATATTTAGTAAGAGATTCGGTTTTTGTTTTTTGTCTGATTTGCTTTGGTTTGGTTTTGTTCAGTTTCTTTGTTTTACTGTGCTGAGGCCCAGGTTTTCACACATTCTAGGCAAGTGCTCTGCCATTGAGCTACACCCAGTTTAATTATCGTCTTGTGAGGGCCCCTTACTGTTTGTATACTTTTCAGCTATGCTGGAGATGAATGATGAAGATGAATTGGAGAGCATAAGCTTGGTAGATTTTTGTCTATCTCTGCTTCTTGACCTATCACCACCACCACCAGCTGTACCACCAAATTCTTTTGGTGTTGGATGTCCATTAAGATTTGTGGTTTTTTTTTCTTTTTTTTGGCAGAACCGGGGATGGAACTCAGGCCCTTGTGCTTGCCAGGGAAGCGCATATTCCACTGAGCCATCTCCCTGGCCCCGTCAATTAGATTTGAAATTCCTAATTTGTGCTCTGTAACACTAGTTTTCCCTAGACGTTAACCTGTTGCTTCCACAAGAGACTGTGACTTGGAGTAGTAAAGCTAACGCTGGTTAAATTGACGGATTTCTTAGAGACTTTGTTTTGTGAATCTCCAGAAAATTTGGAATTTCCTACCACTTAAATGGTTTTTCCTGAAAACTTCCATAGTGCTGTATAGACGTGGAACCCCAGGCTTGTTGGAAGACTTACAAAGTTATTAGAGCACAGTTTAGAACACTGAGAAGAAATAGGAATAAGGAAACCTTTGAAATATGAAACTGAGGTATAATTATTAAAGACGTAACTATATGCATATTTATGTAGTGATATACAAATAAAACTTTAATTATTAGGGAGCTGTTATTTGCTGATTTTTATCAATGACTGCAAAATCATATTGGTAATTCTTGACAAATGGTGTTCTGTAAGGAGACTTTAAGATTCTCATGTGTTACTGACAGGAAAAGAAGTAGAAAGAATTGTGTAGTCCAAACGCCAACAGAAAGGAGTTGGACTTAGAAGCTAAGCTGTGGTCTTAGTGGGTCCAGAATGGGAGCACATCATGGCAGTGAGCACATGGTATTTGTTCCAGCTGGGTCACCTATAATGTGATAAAGAAAAAATGGCTATTACAAAATTGCTCATGGTTTTTTGTTTTGTCTAAGGTGACATTGGGGATTTGAACTCGCAGCCTCCCATATTTTAGGCAGATACTGTTCCACTGGGTTACAATCCATAGCATTGACAAAAAATTTTAAGTCTCATTTATTGGCATGATATTCCTTCCAACAAAGGAATGTGTAGTTGCTTTTATTTGGTTGGTGGTATAGTCTTTACACTTACGGTTATACTTAGCTGAACCAGCAGTCTCCAAGAGCCAGTTGTCTGCTCTTTTTCTTTTGTTGTTTGTTCTGCATAAATAATGTTCAAACAAACAAAACCAGAATCTTAAATTTAAGAATCAGAAATTTAAATTTTTATTCTTAAAATTTGACTCTAGAGAATTGTGGCAGAATTATTTATGAAGTTTTTTGTAGAATCGTAGTTGTTTTTCTTAATGATGAGTCCTGTTAAAAGCTTGAACAGTATTTCCTTCAGCTCTTAAAAATTGAAGTAAATTTAATATTTGGGAAAGTTGTTGATAAGTACATACTAGATGAAGGTGAACATTAGGGTTAACATGTAAAAGCTGAATTAATGATGGCCTAAAATTGTAAGTGCAGTTTACACAAAAATAAAAAATAAAAAATGACTTTAAATTTAAGTAACAACATTAATTTATCCACAATGGAGTAAAAGAATTAGCAGTTTCAATTAGTTGTATCTGGAAGTGCACAACAATGTGTAAATGGTGAGCAGTAATGATCACTACTAACCTGTCAGAATTCATTTGTGCATTCACATAAATGAAATATTTGGGAGGTCCTGTAATAAAGAGTTGACTAAAAACAAAGTATCTCAGCATTCAGGTTATCTGTGAATTTCATTTAACTTTTCAAAAATTATGTTTTTAAAACTGGATCAGGGCTGGCGAGATAGCTCAGCAGACTAAACACCTGCTTAGGCAAGTGCAGGGACTGAGGCTTGATCCCTAACACCACGTATTAGCCCTGTCCCTACCACCCCCAGCCAGAGCCCAAGTCTGGGTGTGGTGGGGCACTCCTGTAATCACAGTGCTGGGAAAGCTGAAAACAACAGGATCACTATGAGTCTGAGCTGCATAGTGAAACCCTGTAACAACCAAATACACTTAAAATAAAATAAAACATACATGTATGTAGTGTCCAGCGGGAGAGATACCTCAGTGGTCTAAGCCCCCGCCTGGCAAACTGAAGGACCTGGGTTTGATCTCTGGTACCGAATGCTGTGCCATGCCAACCCCGGAACCTGGGCCATGCTGGACACTGAAACTGGGTATGGTGGCACACTCCGGTAATCCTAGTGCTGGGAAGGCTGAGACAGGAGGATCACTAGAGTCTGAGCTCTACAGAAAGACCTTGTATCAAATAAATAAAGATTAAAAATAAATAAATTGTCTCTAGGAATCTACCACTTAGTGCAGTAGAATTTTCTGCTGGGAGCCCAGGAAGAATGCGTTGTTTTTGATGTGTTGGCTATTTAATTTTGTAAGTCTCAGAAGAATTGCCTTTTCATTTTCTCCATTGTGCCATTGACTTACTGAAACAATCAGACTGTCATTGAGAATGCCCTCATTTCTGGATTTGGTCACTTCCTTTTAGTGTCAGTTAACTTGTTCTTCTATCCTTTGCTGTTTCTTGAAAACTGATAGATCTCACACTCCATAGTGTACAGGTTCAATATTTTAGGCATACTTTCTAAGTAGTGTTTTGCTTTTTCTCATATCGTCAGGCATATGCTATTTAGTTGTGCCCTTTTCAGTGATGCTAAGATTTATCCATGGTTTTAAGTAGTTAGCCTGACATTTGGATTTTTAAAAAGAATGCTTCAGGTAATCCTTATACTGAAGTTTGAGAACAGTTGATCTAAATATTGTAATGAAACCAATTTAGTTGCTGAGATAACTGGTTTAATGTGGCATTAACATGTTGGCCAAGGCTACATCCAGAACAAAACCTCTAGGTGACATCTGCTCTAGGGGGACCTGCTTAAGCTGCACCTGTCACCACTAAGCAGAGCCTGGACACACCCAGTACTTTGTCTCTGAGCTTCACAGAAAGTAACAAGAACCCTGCTTCAGTGAAAGGGGACAAGAATAAATGAACTACCAAGTTAGAGCTCATCCTGATTGTATCATTTGGATTTTAAAAAAATAACTAGTAATAAATTTTCCTTTGATTATTCTTAATAGAAAAACTCTTACCGTGTCTATATAGGGCTTTATAATACTCTTCCTGAATGAAATACTATTTGTTTTATTGAATTATAAATGTGTATCCTCATATTTAGGATTTTCCTGGCCTATGACAGTTTGTATAGAGGAGTTAATATATAAATCCTATAAAAACAGCAGTGCTAATAGTTGTTTTGTCTGAGGCAGCATCTTCAGTTTCTTTTTTTTGCAGCACACTGGGGATCAAACTCCATACTGGAGTTCGGAATCAGTACTGGTGACTGAACTCAGCACCTTGTGCTTGCCAAGCAGGCACTTATGCAGCTGCTGAGCTATCTCCCTGGTCCTATTTTTCAAAGCATTTTTATGTAGAGATTATATATTTTTCAAGTTTCAGAGCCAGTTGCTGTTACTTAATCTGAGGAAAAAATCTGTGCACCACTCAAGTTTTTCTTTATTAAAGCGTGTAGGTTATTATTTTTTTAAAGGGATGTCCAGCTCATAATCTTAAGTGTCAGCTGTAGGTACCAGCAGGAAACATATTTATGTATTTTCAGAGCACACTTCTCCCGTTCACATTCTCATTTTCTTCCCTGGTAATAGGTCTACTTTACATTTTACAGAATATTCTCTCAGTTATAACTCTGTATTTTGCATAGTTGCTAAATATCTATAGATGTAGTCCATACTCTGTATTTAAAATTTGATTCTATTAGCAGGGGACATTTTTAAAATTAATGAATTAATTAATTTGGTTCAGGTCTCACTGTGCAGCCCAGACTTGTAGTGATGTTCCTGTCTCAGCCTCCCTGGCACTGGGATTACAGGAGTGTGCCACCATGCCCAGTTTTGGTGGGGCATCGGCTGGCTTGGCATGGGGATCAAACCCAGGTCCTTACACTTGCCAGGCAGGCGCTTAGACCACTGAGCCATCTCTCCAGCCCATCATCTTTTTATTTTATACCATTAGAGAGTCAGACTTTTGGATTTCTGAGTTGCTTTTATAAGTAGTTCCACTGTACAGTGTATTGATTTAATCTACTATAAAAACTATGATTTTGGGGCTAGCTGAGGTAAGAGAGAAATGGTAAACCAATTTTTTTCTTTGATGTTTCTGTTTTTTTGCTATATGTAAACTTTTATTTGTACTTCATCTAGATTATTGTATTATTTTCCATTTTATGGTACTGGTGGTAGAATCCAGGGTGTAATGCATGTAAGCATGTATTTTTACTACAGAGCCACATTCCCAGCCCTTAATTATTAATTTGTCATATTTGCCTGTGTTTTTCTTTTTACATGTGATTTGTGTATATGCATACACTATGGAAGCATTGTTACTATTAATGCTCTTTAATCCTTTGATGTTTTTATTCTTTCTTGTTTGTTTCGGTTTTCATTTTTGAGGTACAGTTTCACTATGTAGATGAGGCTGGCCTTGAATCACTGCATTCTGTAGCCCAGGCTGGCCTTGCGGTTGCAGTTGCACGGATCCTCCTGCCTCAGCCCCCCGAGTGCTGGGATTACGAGTTTACAAGTGTGCACCACAATGCCCAAGGATATTATTTTCTTATTTATAGCACACTTCATCTAGGAATAAAAACTTTCTCTAATATAATAATGTCCAGTTAATCAAATTCAGAAAATAATACAGATATAGTTGTATGTTCTAATATACAAAATTTAAGTCACATTTCACCATCCCAAAGATATACTTCGTAGCAACATGCTCCCCATCCCATCTATGACCATGTAGTACATTTAGATGTATCTCTAGTTTTTAATATTTTCAAGTAACTGTAGCACTTGGGAAGCTAAGGCAGGAGCATTCTGCATATTGAAGCAAGCATAGGATACATAGTGAGTTTAAGGCCTGCCTGAACTACAAAGTGAGACCCTGTCTCAAAATACTAAACCAAACAAAGTAACATTTTCTATATTTTTTATTGATGCTCATTTTAAACAGTGTAGACCAGATGTACTATAAAATTTGCACTTGCCTTATAACTTCTTCAGGCTCAGGTTTAGAGGAAACATCTTTGGCAAGACATCACTTTGTCTCATTGTTCATAGTGATTGTGGTTAAGGTAGTATCCTGCTTTCTCCACTGTGAAGTTGTTTTCTCTTTTGTGATTAAGTAACCTGTACGGATGAAAATATCTTGCTCACTGTCACACTTTTACTAAGTAGTTCTCTGTTCTTGAGACAGTCTCGGTTTGACCAGTTCAGGCTGGCTGTGAACTCACTATGTCGCTCAGGCTGGCCTTGAACTCACAGTGATCCTCCTACCTCAACCTCGTTGAGTGTTAGGGTTACAGGCCTGACTTTGATCATCAAGTGGTTTTAATGAGCATTGTTGCTTCTTGCTTGAATCAGTTTATTTTATATATATATCTACAATACTTACTATTTTATTTTAGTGTTCAGCTAACACAGAAGATAGGATTTATTGTACACGCTTTACACTCAGCCAAAAGTGCGAACAGAAGTAGTCCAGAATGCCACAGGTCTGGGGCAAAAAACCAGGGGACTGCTTAGTTTGACCCAAGTGGCTCTCTCTTTGAGATGGTCTTGGCAATCGGATGGCCGTGAAGTTCTAGTCCATTGAAGCGTTCTAGAGAGCATGCAGTCCAAAACTTGCACCAGCGTTGTCAGCTGCCAGCAGTCTTTATTGCTGCTCCTCTGGCCTCCATGGGTGTACGAGCTGTTTTACTTGGACCTCTGTCTCATCCTTCTTTTATGCTTCGGTCTGCACATTCGCTTCTTCCTCCATTTGGCTCTCATGGCGCATAGGTTTCTAAGAAGATGGCGTTATAGTTAGAGCTACTATACTTACTTTCTAACTGTACTGTTATTTCTACATTTATTTGTTGGTAGTCTCTAGGGCTTTGCCTGCCCAGTTCCGGAATTAGTTATTTTCTCTGAGAAGCCCTGATTCCACTTAGTTTTGTTTGTTTGGTAATGGGTCTTGCTATGCCAATCAGACTTGTGATGATCCTCCTCTGTCTCAGGCTTCCTAGCATAAGGATTACTGGCATGCACCACTGTGCCTGGTTTTGGGGCCGACACAGCATGTGGTACTGGGGATCGAGCTTGGGTCCTTGTGTTTAGACCGCTGAGCCGTCTCCCAAGCCCTCCATTTAGTTTTGAATGCTAGATAGAAATCATGATCTGGGCGTTAGATATGTTCATTTTTATTTGATTATTTTTTCTTGCTGGAATTTTTACCGAAATGTATTTATTTTAAGATACGTATTTTAAAAATCATTAGGATGTGCTGATACCTCCAAATACAGTCTATACAAGTTTCTTTACATACTTGTCCATTCTGTGTATTTCCCTTTATGGTACGGTAGGAATCCTAATTTCTTTTTTTCTGCATAGAACTGGGGATTGAACTCAGGCCTTTGCACTTGTCAGGCAAGCTATTATTCTATTGAGCCATTGCCCAGGCCCCTAATGCTAATTTCTTCAAGCAGCGCATTTACTCATCTCACTTCTGCATTATATATGGAATACTTTCACAATCATTGTACCGTAACACTATAAAAAAAAAGGCCACTGGGCATGGTGACATACAACATGTAATCCCAGCACTTGGGAGGCTGAGACAGAAGGATTGCTGAGTTCCAGGCAAGCCTGGGCACTACATAGTGAGTTCAAGGCCAGGCTGAACTACATAGTGAGACTTACCTCAAAAAAAAAGCAGAAAACAAAGAATTACAGATTTGTCTGCAGTTCTTTTTGTTTCTAGACTTATGGTACAATTTTAGAATATTTCATTCAAAAAATTCCTAGTGAAGTGAATTGCAGTATTTCATGCCTCTTGACCCAGCTCTCCCGGAGACTGAGACAGGGAGGGTCCCTTGAGCCCAGAAGTCTTGGGCAGTGTGGTAAGACCCACATTAAAAAATTCATAATAATTATGTTCTTTTTTGGGTGTTAATTGCCCAAAATGCAGTACAAATTCATACTTTCCCCATTTATGCTCAGTTTGTGTTTTCTTCTACATCCTCTTACTTTTACTAATGAATATGTAGAACACTTCAGTTTCAAAAATCAAAGTTTAAGAAAAGGTGTATTTGGGGCCAGGGTGATGGCTCAGCTGAATTTGTGCTGGCCTGGCAAAGTCTTCAGTTCAATCCCTGGTTCTGCAAAAAAAAAAAAAAAAAAAGGAAAGAAAAGGTATACTTGGAAATTCTTTTCTTTTTTTTTTTTTTTTTGTCCCTTCTATCCCTTACTACTCATGTTTTGTTGGTAACCAGTTTTCTTAGCTTCTGCTTATCCTTGTGTTTCTTTTTGCAAAAGTAACACATCTATATATGTATATATTTTTAGTTCTTTCAATGCAAAAAGCACTTTTTTATTCTGTTTGACTTCCTTTATATGTCTTGAAAATCACTCTGAAGATGATTGAGCTTCCTTTTTTTAAACAACTACATGGTATTCTGTGTCCATATCCTAGTTTATTCAGTTAATAAACATAAACATTTCTGACATAATGACTGAAGCTGTTAATGTGTTAAAATTGTAAATAATGCCACATGAGAAGTCTAACCTTATGCAAACCTATTTTCCAGTTGTTGCAGATGTGTCTTCAGAGTAAAATCCTAAAGTGAGGATTGAAGGAGCAATGGAAGAGCAAATGCTCATGTAGTTTGGGAAAATATTCCCAAATTTCTATTGTGAGAAAGCAGCTTTACGTCCCCACCACCAATTTACAGGAGTGTTTTTTTACCACAGCCATGCCATGCGTTGCAAAGTATTTTAACTTTTACCAATCTGAAGGGTTAAGAAATGGTATTTTAATTATTGAAACTGTATAGTTTCAATATTTAGTAATGTTCCCATCATAGCTATTTAACAAGATTTTCTTCAGGATTGTTTGCTTTTTCTTATGAATTTTAGTATCATTTCTAGTTCCAGAAAAATAGCTTATTTGTCTTTAATGGGGATTGAATTAAATTTATAAATTGGAGAACTGAGGTTTTTTGTTTTGTTTTTGTTTTTTTTGGTACTGGGGATCAAACTCAGGACCTTGCACTTGCTAGGCAGGTGCTTATATCCCTGCACTACCACCCAGCCCAGGGAAATGAAATCTTGATGATACCAACTTGATCTATCTAAGAACAGCAGTTGGACGTCTTTCATTGTATTCATCTTTGTGTGTGTTGTATTATTATGGAAGCTATTGACTTATTCTAATCTGCCACTCTACTGAATTATTTGTGTTAATTTTTTGAACTTTAGAAATTTATATTTTTACTTTATTTATTTTTACTCTATTTTTAATTTCTTTTTTTAAATTTAAATTTTATTGAGAAACAAATATGAATGAGTCAATTTCAAAGCTGATTAATAGGACAGTTTCGATATTCAATACATTGTCCATTATTGTCTTCTTAGTGGTTATCCATAGTACAAAAAGCAGACAGGATATGCTGCCCAAACACTATTAGTACACCTCTTTCTTATTGAATTAAGTGAAAGTAGCTGTATATCTATCCTAACTATTTTGTATATATAAATACAAAAGGATCTTTCTTTTGTATCCCCCTTTTTTTTCAGTCCTGTCAGAGGTGAATATTCTATTGGCATCTAAATACTGTAGGTGTTTGAATTCTGTGAAACAATCCAACACTTTCTAGCAGTCTATAATATTAGTGGGTTATCCTCAGAAGTTATTGACTCGAGCCTTTTACAGCTCATCATATTAATATGGCTTTACTTTATATACCTCGTTTTTATACTTTTCTGCTGGATGGTTAAGACCAAGATAAAGCAAGACCTATATAACAAGAAATGTAACTTTTGTATCTGATAAGGTCAGCCAAGTACTCTCAGGATTTATTCTGTAGCTCTGTACCGCACTTTGTAGATCCTTTGTCAGAGTCAGCCATGAGGATGAGTCACGGCCATTGCTTGACCAATTTGCTCTCTGTGAAAGCCTGAGAGAATGTTTTTTCTCTCCATGTGACTCTCGATCACATTCCTCTGTGGCTCCATAATCTCCTTGATCAGAATATTTGGAGCACAACTGAGTTACATGATGTTACAGTACAGGTTCTCCTATGTCCTGAGTCTTCACTGACCTTAAAGGCTAGGGCCAACATGTTGGCTGATGTTGCAGCCCTTTTCTCCAATTTTGATCTGCTAACTTAGGTTGTTAACCCTCCAGAAGAGAAGCTTATTATTAATCTACAATATATGCAGTTCAGTTTACCCTGTCTAAATATCAAACATCTTTGGCATATCAAAAACAGGTATTTTCCATCAAATATTGATATGTTGAACTTTAAGTCCTTACAAAATATGAAGGAAAAATAATTTTAAAAAAGTAGAAATAAGCGTTTGCATATTTTTACAAAGAAATTTAGAAATCTAACCATGTACAGAATTGTAACAGGACAATCTGACATTTTTTTTTCTTATTCTTGTCTTTTTTTTGCATTTATTACCCTTTAAAAAAAACAACAACCCTTATTTGAGTGACATTATGGCAATAAATGGTATGTCATGACAAGAAGTACATATGTAGAAGACCAGGATGGCAGGCACTCCAAGCGTGACCCCTCTATTACACGTCACCGTCCTCAGTGCAGCCGCCTAGCTCACAGGCATCAGCATATGCTGTTAGTCAGGGTGAGCATCTCACCAGCCAACCTCTAGTCTCAAAAACCTGCTGATGTTCCCCAGGATCACTGCCCCACTCATCTCGTGCATACAAATGCATGGCTTTGCCCCTGTCATGTTTCCCAGCTTTTCTCCTTGTCCACTCCTCATTGTCCAATCCTCAAGTTCTCGCTTTCCTTTTATTTGTGTTGTACCTTTCTATATATAATTCCTCTTTTGAGTTCTTATATTAGGGAGACTATATGATATTTACAGATAGTCTGGTTTATTTCACTTATATCTTCAAGTGGCATCTATTTAAATATGAAGGCTTCGAGTTTATCATTCTTTATAGTGGAGTAATACTTCATTGTATAAAAATACCACATCTTTTTCAACCATTCCACATGTGACGGGCATCTTGGTTGTTTCCAAGATCTGGCTATCACAAATTGTGCTGCTATAAACATAGATACGCATATATCACTATGATATGATGCTTTCGGTTCCTTTGGGAAAATTCCCAGTAGGGGGATAGCAGGTTTGAATGGGATTTCCAGTCCTAGTTTTTTTAAGGAGTCTCCACACTGATTTCCATAATGGTTGCACCAGTTTGTACTCCCACCAACTGTGGAGAAGTGTCCCGACCCACGGGTTAGTCAGCGAGGACCCTAGAGGGGAAGTGGGGATGAGAAGGGACAGGAGACACAAGAAATGGAGACAAGACAAGTTCTGATCAAGTCTCGTTTATTTAGGGGAGGTGCTGGGTATATAAAGGGTGTAGGAATGAAGAATTCTTGGCTCTTGACATCAGCAGGTATCTAGGCAACAGAGGAAGGTCCCACCCCCGGAGCGTAACAGGAGACAAGGCAAATAGGCGGGGTAAGGGAATAGAAGCTTAACTCAGCAGAATAAAAATTTAAGAGTATGGCTGATACTATTATAAAATAGATACCAATTACAGGTTTCCCACAGAGAAGGGTTCCCTTTTCCCCACAGCCTCTCCAACATTTGTTGTTGGTTGATTTCTTTATGATAGCCATTCTTTCTGGGGTGAGATGCTATCTCAGTGTTGTTTGATTTTGCATTTCACGGATGGCTACTGATGAGCATTTTTTCATATATTTATTCGCTTCTTTAATTTCGTCCTCTGAGAAGTGTGTGTTCATCTCGGATGCCCATTTCTGGATTGGGTCTTTAAATTTAGGGGCCCTAATGTTCTTTAGTTCTTTGTAAATTCTAGAGAGCAGACCTTTGTCTGAGTGCTTATTAGTTAAGAAGTTTGTGGGTTGTCTTTTCACTTTGTTGGTAATTTCTTTTGACTTGCAAAAAGAAATTAGAGGTCTCAGTTGTTAATACTTTCAAGTATTTCCCGTGCGATTTGATTTTTGTTCATGAGCTCTTTGTCTACCCCTTTGTCTTCAAGAGATCCTCCTACTTTCTCTTCTAGGAGATTTATTAGTGTTTCTGTTCTAATGTTCAGTTCTTTAATCCATTTTGACTTTACTGCATGGGAATAGACCTGGGTCAGGTTTTAGTTTTTGGCATGTAGAGAGCCAATTTTTCCAGCAAGAAATTTATATTTTTAAGAGAACAAAGTCAATGCATTGCTGTAGAGTCATGATGGGGCAATTTGGAAAACATGGGGATAGTGACTGGTAGTCCTTTGCACAGACTTTCTGAAAGCATCTCTGAAAACTATGAAGCCAGGTTGGTGGTGCACACCTGAAGTCCCAGCTACTTGGGAAGCTGCGATCAGAAGATTAGTTCAACTCTAAGTTTGAGCCCCTCCTGGGAAACATCACAAGAGAAAAATAAGTCCTTTAAAAAAATGGGAGAAATGATGAATCAGAGAAATTAATATTTCAAGGGTTTTCCATGCAAGGAATGAAAACAGACCTGAGCCCAAATAACTATCTTACAAAAGAGAGAGTGATGAAATACTAAAAGGATGTTGCTTAAGCATCAGAAATATTGAAGCTTGGTACCAGAGAGAGGACCTGAAGGATAAGCCCACAGGATTTTTTAAGGGAAAAGTGAAAGTAGACCCTTTTTTATTGAAAACTTTCTATTTGTCTTTTCTTGGGCATGATGTCCAGTTCACATCTCTTTGGTCTGCAGTACTCTGAAAGTTATTTAGGTCAGAAGATGTCTCTGAGACATACAGGTTCTAGATAGATTCCTTGGGTATAGCCATGGCTGACGTGGGCCCTATACCTAGACTAGACATCTAGCTGCAAGGGGCAATTAATGCTCTCAGCCTTTAATCCAATTGCAAGTCAGCTACATTAGTTTTATTTTGGGTTCTTTTGAGACAGGACCATACTGTATAGTTCAAAGCTGACCTTGAACTCACTAGTAGCCCAGGCTGGCCTTAAACCCAAAGTGATCCTCTTGCCTCAGGCTCCTGGGATTATAGGCGTGTGTCCCATGATTCATGTCAGGTGAATCAGCTTTACTCTTCTTGCCTGGATTCATCCTAATTTATGCTTAGTGACATTGTAGTTAGCAGACAGTTCTAGACTTTATCTGAGAAGAAATAAATAGAGGAAGGGAAGTAGAAGAGTGTTTTGATGTTGTCTTTAGATTACTGTTGTTATCTGTGTGTTCTCCTATAGTGTATTTTCCCTTGCACAAGTGCTTTTTTTTTTTTTTTTTTTAAGACAAGGTCTTGTATATAGTTCAGGGCGACCTTGAACTGTTTAGCCTAGAGTAGACTTGAACTCACGGTGCATCTCCTGCCTGAGCCTGCCTAGTGCTGGGATTACAGGCATGAGCCAAAGTGCACAGGGCAGGTGCTTAGGTAGTAGTCATTTTTTTCCTGAAACCTGGAGTTTTGACCCTTAATTAGAAACTTCCCACAGGTAACTGTTATAATGATATTTACCTGCATACACTTCCTGAAACTTGTATAGTTTGATTTCGACATCAGATCAGTTGGAGTTCATTCTTTTGTATGATGTAAGGAATGATTATTGTAGAGGTAATCTGGTAGTTTTTGGAAAAAGCATTCTCTTAATTTGCATCATTATCCTTATTCAGAGCAGTGTCATTAGCATTACTTTGCATAGGTTAGCTTACAGGGTTCACCCTTGAACTCAGTAAGTTAAATGCTATTCTTCCTAGTTTCAACTAGGTCCTATCTCTGACACTGGAGCTCAGAACTCTTACCTGTGCACCATAGAGATCACTGGCCTGAGGGAAGTAATAGCTCAGACCCTGGGTCTGACTCTGGGACATTGTAGGCTTTTTCCTAAGAGACCAGGAGCAGCAGCACCCTCCAGCTTGAGGGTGCTGAGGTCTAGAGTGCTTAGTTTCCCTCACCAGCATTACAAGTTACCTGATAGCACAAGGGACTACACAACTGATGGTTCCTGGTCAAGAGCTACCTCCCTGGGCTGGGGAGATAGCTCGGTAGAATAAGCTCTTGCCTGGTAAGTGCAAGGTCCCAAGTTCAATCCCTGCTACCACAAAAAAAAAAAAAGAGCTACCTCCCTATATAGGAATTACTTGATGTCTCTCTTATGCCTTTAATACCATTTTCCCTCTAATTTTGCATTCTCCTTCATAATCCATATACATGCCATCACATATATTTATAATTGCCAGACAAACTTGAAACCTCTTGGTGAAGTGGTTGCTCCTGGGAGATGGTGATCTAATGGGTTAGAATACTTTTCGCATAGACACATGTTGGATGTATCCATCATTAAATAGCCCCAATCACAGAGTCAGTGCCCCGCACCCAGCAGAAACAGACACTGCATGCATGGGCAGCTCCCCGCAGCTGTGGGTCGTGCGGATGGCACATGCAGCACCAGGAGTGTCTAAGCAGCAGCTGAGGGAATTGCACACTTACCCGTAGTCCAGGTGCTCCTGCTGCCATATTGGTTTCTTTTTTTTTTTCTTTCTTTTTTTTTTTTTTTTTGTAGTACCAGGGATTGAAGCCGTATTGGTTTCATCTTTTTTTCTCTTTGAAATTTCTCTATGTACTACTAGCATGTCATCTGCTAAAAGAAATTTTTTTACTTTTCCAACTTTTGTGTCTCCAAGTAATAGGGACGGTAGGGACATCTTTTCCTTACCTTGGTGCTGATCTTAGTTTGATGCTTCTAGCATTTCCTCATCCAGTAAAGTTCATGCCTGCTTTGTTCACTCTCACACACACACACACACACACACACACACACGCCCACCCCAGCCATTGGTTTTGGGGATTGGACTCGGGCCTCGTGCATGCGAGGGAAGTACTCTACCACTGAGCTACATTCCCAGCCCTTTTTATTTTCAAGCAAGATACTGCTGAGTTCCCCAGGTTGACCTCAAACTTTCCATCATCCTGCCAACTTCCCAGGTAGCTAGGATTACAGGTGTCTTGTGCTGCTATAAATGGCTACAGTCCTAATTTACAGTTTTCACTGTACTAATTCTGTAATAGAATTTATTTCCATTAATGTACAGAGTCCATATCTTTTGTTTAGTGATAATCTTTTATATGTGTTAACTACTAGGTGCAGCTTTGCTTCTTTATTTTAATTTATGTATTTAGTACAGGGTCTACAGGGTTTTACCACGTAGATCGGACTCATGGTGATTCTCCTGTTTTCAGCCTCCAAAGCGCTGGGATTACAGGCGTGCACCGCCATGCCCAGTCTCAATAACCATCTTATTGAGCCCTGGGGGTAGGGTCGGCCGGCTACAGCACTCTGCCTAAGCAGGCGCTTTGGTCCACTGAGCTATCTGGCCAGCCCTGCTTCTTAAAATCTGTAGTTATTTGTATTCAAGAGGGGAACAATTCCCTGGCAGGCACAAGGGCCTGAGTTCAATCCCCGGCTACGCAAACAAGAAAAGGGGAACAAATGATGACTATTACATTTTTAAAACCCCATTTTATAGTTTACATTTGAATGTGAATGTTTTTCATGTTGTTAGAATTTAATAGATAAATAAAAATCAATTACAGTGCTAAATAACTTTGGTGAACATTTTCTTGTTCTTTCTATTCATTAAGAAATCTTGGTCTGAGGAGATAGCTCAGTGGTGTAAGTGCCTGTCTGGCAAGACAAGGTCCTGAGTTCAGTCCCCAGTACCAAAAAAAAAAGGTAGTTCTTTGGGCTGGTGAGATGGCTCAGTGGTCTAAAGCACCTACTTAAAACAAGCTTAGCAAAGCACAGGGACCGCGGTTCAATCCCCCAGCACCACATGCCAGCCAGCCCCGCCCTCTGGTGGGCTGAGCTGGCCACACACACACACACACACACACACACACATAAATAAGTCTTTACTGTTTTTTTTTTTGCTGGCCATTACATTACTTACAAAAATAAGACAGTAGTTTTAAGTCATTATTTCATTTTTGTATTCTCAAGGTAAGAAGTAACTATTTTGGTTTTATGAAGTCTCCATTATAGTTATCTACCTTGTAGAGAAGATAAGCAAATTTGTACTTAAGTTAAAATCAGACATCTTAAATATTTAGATGCATTAATTCAGATCTATCATCACTAAATTTAAATGGGCTATGCTTTACATTATATATTTGGTCCTTGGCATTAGAATTAAATTGATTATTAAAAACTGGTTTTGAAAGTTGCTTGTCATATGCCTCTTTTATATCTCCTTCATAGACTTCAGTATTTGCATTTTGCACAGTATGTTATGTCTCTAAGCAAATCACTTAATTGCTTGGTCAGTTCTCTGTCATAACCAATCTTGTAGGAGTTTACCGAGTCTTCAGCTTAAGGCCTTAAGCTGAAGGAGATACTGTGCACAGATTTAATATTTTATGGCAG